CCTATTTGTTTCACAATCGGTTCCTGTCAGGTTGGTTCGCTCATTCTCAGAGATTCCTGTTGCTGATCTTTTCTGACCGGCCATCTGATCTTGAGTATTGAGCGAAGACAGCTGTTAATGAAGGTTTATCAAGTTAACTGAGTGAAATACAACCACTGGCTCATCGACTGAATGCATATTGTTCTCAGTAGTAGAAGAAGTTCTCACTGAGACTAGGATCTGACACCAATTACTTCGAACGCCAAAACGTTATCCACTAATTCATTGGGCCCAGGCTCAGTCGGAACACTGCCTCTCATTGAGGAGTATGTACATCCAGCTGACACGCCCCAAATAGAATGAAGAGCGCGTCCTGGGTTCCATAATTAGCCAGCATGAAACACGTAAAGCCGAGTTATTGGTTATTATAATATTTAAGACATTAAATGTTAGAATAAAAGCAGTCATTTCTGTCAGGATATATCACACAAGAAGTTATAAATATGAATAAATATACCGTTGTCATCATTTTCTTAATTTTGTCTATTTTGGTGTTCATTTATCTTCACTATGTTGTTGCTGAATAGCCTTCCACAATAGGAGAAAAAAACATCATCCCATCATTTCTCCATTTTGGTAGGTCGTCCAGGTAGTTTCAGTTCCTTGTAAAAGTTGAAAGTTTTCTCTAATATATCTGACAATATATTTTTTAATCTATAAAGTCAATGAATACTGACGTTAGTAATTTTAGACAATAATGAATTAATCAGGTTTCTTAGCTAATTGAATTGTACACTCTCAGTAGGGTTAAGGTCGTTAGTTGTCTTATCAGATTGACACAGTTGAGTGAAATGAGTCGATTTTAATTACTAAAACTCTATACATTAGAAAATGACGAATTTAATTCTTTTTACGAATTGATCATGGATTGATATCAGCTAGAGAACCATTGAAAACCAGGGAGTACTGGACAGACAGTTGTTTCATCAGCCTAGTTTGGGAATCATTGCCAGTACGCACCCACACCCACAGGGGTTCGAACCCAGGACCTTCTGGTTACAAGGCCAGCGAGCTCGTATACCATTCAGCCACTCACTGGGACCCAATTCACTAGCCAGCCCATGAATTCTAACTTCTATCAATTCATGATTTAGCGCGACCCCATCCTCACACGTGACATCTGGATGAACTTCACTGGTTACGACTTCTCACTAGAACTGACTCTAGGAAACTCCATCCTGTAGCAAGTCACTAACGAGCATCAGATTAATTTTCTATAGTTTGGTTTGCAAGGGTTAGTTTTGTTTCTACGAGTTAGAATTCGTGATCGAATGAATCGGGTCCCAGTGAGTGGCTGAATGGTATACAAACTTGCCTTGTTACCCATAAGGTCCTGGGTTCGAACCCCTGTGGGTGTGGGTGTGTACTGGCGATGATTCCCACACTAGGCTGATGAAACAGCTGTCTGTCCAGTACTTCCTGGTTTTCAATGGTTCTCTAGCTGATATCAATCTTCGGTCAACTCGTAAAAACAAAACTAACCTTTACAAACCAAACTATATAGAATTCAATTCTATTTTAACTATAAGCTAAGTCCAGTTTCTCACATCAGATGTAGTATATTATGGTGAGAAACAGCAGTTAGGCGGATACTACCAGGTGAGAGGGGATGATCAATATATGAACTTCTGAAGCTTCATCAGTACAAGTAATGAGCACTAATTTATGAAGTATATGGCTGTTGGTTTGATCCACATAGGGAGGTGTAGCCTGTCTAGCTGGGGTCCTCGAGAAGTCAAAATTTAGCGGCTGGAGACCGTTAGTGATATGACTCAAAATTGACCTCAGTGATATAGATTTATCGATTCTTTTAGATATCCAGATCCATAAAATTTCTTATTACTTCTCTTGTAATTACTCTTTCACCTGTATATTTCTGGTTTTTATAGTCCATTTGTATTTTAATATTTTTTTTCAAACCTTTATTTGTGTTTATAAAGTATGACAAGTTGAATTGTTTGAACTTTTATGTTAACGTCTACGAATAAAAATGAGTTCATTTTAGTTCATTAAGTACCTTCCACAATGAGAATGGTATATATGGGAAAAACTGATCAGAAAAACAAATAATTTGGTCATATCATCATGATAAGAAACTGAATTCTTGAAGTTATTAAATGTTTAATGCAATTCGAGCTTTCCCGTCGATTGATTGGACCGTAGTGCTCGGCCTCTGTTGACTTGTCGTCTCTCTGTGGGGATTCTTTGATGATGTCTGAGGATTTACCTTGAAGTATTGTAGTTGATGGTGACTAGTCGTTTAATGGATAACCCTACTGCTTACTGGGTTCGAGCCTCAGTGAGAAAATAAGTTGTGAGATTGGCGACAATGATATAGGAATCAAATCTGAAATGAAATATCTTGGACTTATTCTCTCTTCTGATCTCTCCTGGTCTTCCCATGTCTTAGCAATCTCCATTAAAATATTCCGCCTGACATTTTACATTAAGAAGTTAAGGCACTCGGGTATAACTCAACCAACCCCTCCTCCTCTTACAGTTCATAAACTCTTACATCCTACCTATTCTTCTTTATTGTTCACCCTTATTCTTTCCTGGTTTGCTTAAAAAAGGACTATGTCACAATTCGTAGAATATTGAAGACTGTCAGTAGAGTGAGTGGTGTCCCAGTGGACCACATAGTTAACGTTGTTGTCGATAGGCACTTGACAATTTCCTCCATCCATCCTTATATACCTTCAAGTTTTACTTTTATTATTTCTATTATATTTATGGTCCTGTTGCTTCTTGGTTTGTTTTACTTTCATAATTGCGAGCATCAACTTATCTCCATGACTGCTGTAATCTTTGTTTTTCCCCTCACCATATCATGTAAACAGAACTTTATATTCAATATTTTTAAACATGCTAGGATTTCTACACCACATTGCCAATACTGTGTGAAACAAGCCCACGGGAATTTTCACTTGTATTCTTATTATTATTACCCTAGCTGCTATCATTATTATTGTTATTATTTCCATTTTATATGCTGCATGTTTCTGACATTACTCCTATTGTAAATGTAGAAATTTTCCTGTGTGATTAATTTTATTTATAATTTGAGGAAATTAGATGCAACAATATTGTGATTAATGCTGAAAATTCCATTCTGTATCACAAGTACTGTTTTTGGAATAAAGTAAAATCATTATTATTATTATTCACCGGGTAATGCAGGTACGTTCAGCTGGCAGTCGAGTCCCAAATATGACGGAATGCGTATCGTGAATCATTCCACTGATAGTCACCATCCATTAACTTATACACTATTTGTTCGAATCAGCTAAATGTGATTGTCGAATTCTTTTTGAGAATAATTTTTAATGTAATCAGTGAATCGAAAACCAAATATAAACAGTTGAAATTTATTTATAATTGATACAGATGTTGTATTCTGCCTTTATCGATGAATATTTAAACATTTGGACATCATCATTATACTGACTGACATTCTAGGTCTTCGCCTTTCAATCCTACTCATTCTGATGTGCAAGGAGAAAAGAAGATTTCTGAGTGGTAGCGGTGAGACTATATATGAGAGAGTCTTCGTGTGGCTGACTGTTATTGATTAACGCAATACACAGTGAATAAATATCAACTGAAAGTGTCAGTTACTTAGGGATTCGAACAAGCGGCTTCGTGATTGACCAGACGAGAACTTGATCAGCTGAATCATGAAACCCAGCTAGAAATCAATCCATAGTTTAGTAAGATCTCTGTGGATAGTGCACAGCTGTCACGTGAATGGATGATATGTAAACGTGTATGAAGTAAAACTACCTCACCGTTTCTCATCATGTTAGCTAACCCACCAAGGTCTTATCTCAACTACTCCAATCATACAAAAGTAGAAGGGGGAAGGTGTTTGTTAATTCAACTTTTGCTCAAGCTGTCTCAAGTTTATCACAAATAATTTCATCATCATTTGTGATTTTTACAAGTGTTTATTTCACCTACTGAAAAAGTTAGTCCCAGGAAACAATAAATTTATTTGATACAGTGTTACGGTATTGCTTACTGACTACATCTCATAACTATCAATACCACGCAACGACTGCGAAGTCATCTAGATATTGAAATACATTATTTTTCATTTTTGGTTACAGCTAACATCGGTTACAGAACCATTGAAAACCAAAAGGGTGTGCTGAACACCTGTTTCGTCAGCCTAATTTGGGATCCATCAGAAGTACTCATCCACCCCATTGACAGGGTTCGAACCCAGAACCTTCCACTTACGAGGTTAGCAAGCTGATAGACCATTGAGCCACTGGGACTCGATCCAATGACCATTCCATGAATTCCGACTTCTTCCACTTCACGATATAACAAGACTGGAAGGAGCAAATGTGATCGCTCGCGAGTATTCTCCCTGATACCCAACCTGGTGGACCCCACTAACCACAACTTCTCACTAGAACCCAGGTAACTACCTACCTTAATATTAATCCTATGCTCAATAGTCACTGGCCCTATTCAGGTAGGTAGGTAGTTACCTGGGTTCTAGTAAGAGGTAATGACCATTTGCGTCCACCAGGTTGGATGTGAGAAAGAATACTCGCCAGCTATGACATTGGCTCGTGCTAGTCTCGTTATATTGTGAGTTAGCGGAAGTCGGAATTCATGAACAATCCACTGGATCGTGTCCCACTGGTACAGTGGTATAAGAGGTCGCCGGCCTTGTAACTAGTAGGTGCTTGGTTCGAGCCCTAGCAGTGAGGTGGGCGCGTACTGATGAAGAGTCTCAAACTAGGACGAAACCGGTGTCCACTACTCCAATGATTTTTTAACCAATGTCAGCTCATGATGAAAATCCTGTAACTAATGAAATCAGTTCCCTTCAAGCCAATCCTTGAATAAAAAAATATTTTTGTCTCTATAGTCAATTCCTAATCAACTTTTAATAAGTTTCTCCCTGTTTTTTTCTTTGCTTTTCTGCCATACAACCAAAAAAACAGGATGCACCATTCGCTTCTGCTGGAACTAATAATTCCAATAAGCCAACAACACGTGTCTATCGTGATTGTAGTGCAATACGAACTGAAGATAAGCATTGTATGGATAGAGTTGGTACAGAGAAAGTGAAACTACGCTATTGTATATGCGGTGAAGATGCATGTAATCACGGAGCCTTATCGAATACAGCTCAAATACAATCTATCCTATTTACAACAACAATTACCCTATTGGCTTATTTATATGCATCATAGTTGAATAGCGAAAAACAAAAAAAATTAGTCAAATGACGAGTAGTAAACAAAAATATTTATAAAATAAATAAAGAAGAACCATAAGAAGAAAACAATACAGAAATAGAGAACGATTATATCATCTGTCTTCAGTTTTCTCTCCTCTCTTCCAGTAGATTTCGTTATCCTTACTATTATTATTGTTATTATCATTATTATTACTAACATTACTATGAATATTGTTATTGTAAACTAGATAAATTAGTTGGTATTCTCTTCCTTTGAAAAAATAACAATCAATAAGTAAATAACTCAATCAATCGATAAGAAAATTACATTTTAATCGATATACTACTTACAAATTCTTGTAAGTAACCCTTCCATTCTGATTTCCAGTTTGTTCAATGTACAATACATATGCATACTTCTATATTTCTAAAACAAATTCTTAGTAGCTATGAATGAATCCATTTTATGTGATGAGTAATAGAAATTAAAAAAAGTTTTTTTCTAAAATAAATTTCAAATTATGATAAATCATACTCTGTTTGAATGCATTATTTGTATTATTATTATTATTTTTTATTATTGATTCATTGATTCAAGTAAACTGTGAATACAATCACATTCAGTTTGATTTGGTCTGTGTGTTTACTGTAGCGGCTAATCTAGTTTTGTATTAGAAAATCGATAGTATTTAAGTGAATTATTGTTATATAATGTCCAGTGACAAATTGGTAACTGTAAGGTTTTGAGATTGATAATATATTGAATGTTAGTTTATCGTTGAGACGAAACCACAATGTTCTGCTACTTACTATCGATTGAATTCTGTGAGCAGATTTTGCGGAGCATTCATTATCGTCGTATATTCTTGAACTGATGGTCGGTGGTTTGAAGCCCATTCGTAGAAAGCCTGATAACTAGGTCTTGTAGTCATTTTCACTTCATCATGTAAGGTTTAGGGTGTAATCTCAAAGGAAATGACGTCTTTAATGTAAGTGTAGAACTTGTAATTACATATTTAGATAAGTTATGGGGTGTCACGTAAACATAGATAAAACAGAGGTAGGTGATGAAGATTCCTGGTCAACACCAACAGCAACAACAACATACAACAATCAGTCTGTATAAATGGGAGGAACCTGAAAGAAACAACCTCATTTACCCACCCACTTACCTGGAAAGCATCGTTTCAACTACAGGCGGACGGTACTGATGAGGATATCAAAGCCAGAATCGGAAAGGCAAGACAAGCTTTCATTACTCTTAAGTCTGTGTAGAGGTCAACAGTACTACTGAGCATGAAAAATAATATGAGGATTTTCAACTCCAATGTGAAGTCAGTGCTACTTACTATACGGATCAGAGACTTGGTGCGTGTCACGAAGGGCACTTCGAACAAACTACGAACGTTCATCAACAGCTGTCTTTGCTCAATACCACTCAAGATCAGATGGCCAGCCAAAAAAGATCAGCAACATGGATCTCTGGCAACGAGCGAACCAACATAGCAGAGACCGGTTTTGAAACAAATAGGCAGGAAGAAATGGAGATGGATTGGCCATACTCTGAGATAACAAACCATCAAGTGACATCGCTAGACAAGCCATTGCTCGAGTGGAACCCGGCCTCATGGGATGCGGTGAGTTGGTCGTCAGTGTGAGGGTGACTTGGAGGAGGTCATGTGAAAAGGAGGAGATGAAAGCATGTTGGCAGACTTGTAGTGGGGTGCAAAAGTTGGCAGAAAACCGAAGGTAATGGAGACGAGCAGCTGAAGCCCTATTTTCCTCTAGGAATTAAAGGATATAATAAATAATAATAATTTGTGTGACAAACGTGCTAGGCTGAAATCGATTACAAAATATTGTAAAACAGGAGACAGTGGTGGTGATTAATCATAATAGATTTGTAGAGTGTGGGGTAGGAAAATTGACAAGTCAGTCGAAGGTTATAAAGGGTGTCAGGTGAGTGGCTAGTACACCCCATAACTAATCTGTTATTCTACGTTAAAAATATTTAAATAAGTTTATTTTAATTATCACACAGTGAGGGGGTACAGTATTAACACCTGGATGGATGACAAAGTGGTTTCGAGAATTAATGACTACTGCTCATAATCAGATCAATTTAGTTACATATTTTCCCGATTTGTCTCACGTATATTTTCCCTCTCTTCTGTCTCACCGTCCAACTTCCCTTTGCTTGACTGTAGAATAAATCGAAAACAAAATGGCGGCTGGTTAGATACCTGGCATTTATAGGAAACCGATACACTCTAATAAATTATTATTATTAGTATTACTCCCTTGGGTTCCTAGCGGAACATAGGGCTTCAACTGCACGTCTCCATTTTCTTCTGTCTTCTGCAATACTTTTCGCCTGCATCCATGTTAATCCATCTTCTTTCAACTCCTCTTCACACGATCTCCTCCATGTCACCCTTGCACTGACGACCCACACGCCGCTTCCCTTTCGGGTTCCACTCGAGGGCTTGGCGCGCGATGTCACCCGGCGGCGGCCTCCTCAGCGAGCGAGTGTCCGATCCATCTCCACTTTCTCCTGCATATTTGTTGGGCGATTGGTTCTTGCTTTGTTTGTTCCCATAATTCCTTGTTGGTGATTCTTTCCGGCCATCTGATCTTCAGTATAGAGCGAAGACAGTTGTTAATAAAGGTCTGCAACAGGCTGTTGGAAATATTCTTTGTGACCCACCAGCCAAGTTTCTGATCCGTATAGAAGAACTGACTTTACGTTTGTGTTGAAAATCCGAATTTTGTTGGTGATGCTGAGAGACGAAGATTTCCAGATTGGTTTCAGGTTGATGAGTGAATGTGTTTCTCGCCTTCCCGATTCTCGCTCGATTTGGCATCCTCGTCCGCTCCTCCTGTAGTTGAGACAATGCTCCCTAGATAAGTGAAGTGAATGAAGTAACCTCTTTCAAATCCCTCCCGTTGATGGTGACTGGCGCTGGAAGTTGCTGTTGTTGTTGACTGGTTATTTTCATAACCTCCGTCTTGTCTATGTTTACCTGGAGTCCTGTCTTTGCTGCCTGCTTCTTCGACCAGTTTGTCGGTTTTCGCTTGTAAGTCATCGATTGTGTGACAGTGACATCAAACATAAGTCATCCACGAAATCCAGGTCTTCTAGGTTCTTCACGTCAGTCCAGGATATTCCTGTCTTCTCGTTTCCCGCAGTCTGACGCATAATTCAGTTACATAAATACATAAATACACAAATACAGTGTGCTACTCGACGCTTCGTCTTCTCACTAATTTATATTGGCTCCCTGTTTCACTACTAACCGTGTTGTATCCTGAAGATTTTGCAGGAACCTCTCATTCTCATCCGATGACTATTCTACAACCGGTGCACAGCTTCTACTAGTAGACGCGACTCCAGCAGTGAAGTCTTCTGTGGATTACATAATTAATTTGTACCATGGAACTCTAACTGCATAACCAAGTAACCAATTAATTTATATAACTCATCAACTTCCATTTTCATAATATACTGTTACACCATCATTTCACTACCATGGAATTTTATTGAAATACTTGTGATGTTACCGACCTCGCCAGAAAGTTCCCTACAGTTAGTTCTATTTACTAGGCAGTGGAAGTTTGTAATAAAAGTCTCAGGAGTAGTCATTTTATGTTGCCACTCACGATTTCGCTTTTTCACAATTCCAATAGAAACTTGTGAATTAGCAGGTTCCTAGCATTTGAAATACTCGCCAGAGTAGAAAACTTAAAGCAGTTAGTCCCTTTTATAAATTTGGATAGCGTTATTAGAGGACGGAGATTATGTGAAAAACGATGTGGGATGTATTTGCGCCACATACATTTCGAACAATCAGATCACACATTTACCTGTTAGCGGACGTTTACATGTCTTATGTTGAGAACTTGTCCCTTGATTTAATTTCTAAATTGCCCTTCTACAGGAGATATGTAGATGATATTATTTCGACATGCGATGATCATGAAGATACGAGTCGTCTATTAGACAGTCTTAACACTCTGCAGAATCATATTAGTCTTACGTGCGGGAAGAAAGTCTCAGCCAGCTTGTATTTTTAGACATACTTCTGAGTCGAAGAGACGACGGTTCATTAAGACGATCAATCTACGGAAAGCATACTTGGACAGGGCAGTACATTAATTTTCACAGTTTTTCCATTGCAGTATAAGAGAGATTTGGTGAAATGTCTATTTAAGAGGATTCAACGTATTTGTACGCCTGACCATATAGACAAAGAAAACGAAATATTGATGGATACTCTTGTTGAGAACGGGTATCCTTTAAAAACAGGTGCAGAAGTCAGTTAGTCTCTAAACCTACAATCCAATGTTTTCATCGAATTACCATATAACGGGGAAATAAACAGTAGGATTTTGAGAGAAAGGTTGAATTCAATCATCCGTAGAACCTATTATACAGCCCAGCTTGTAATTGTAGAAAAAGTTAAAAATATGCTCCACTGCAAACCTCAAAAGTCCACAACTGATTGCATCATATCTCACACTATTTACCAATTTTCGTGTGTTTGTGCTCACACATAAATAGGGAGTAATCGCGCTTTGCATATGAGGGTAGGACAGCGAGCATATCCCAAAATGGCTAGGAAAAAAAAACAAATGAATTTTCAAAAACCAATAGATGCAGGTGTTAGACTACCACCAACTTCATCTGTAGCTAAACATCTAATCGAGATGAACCATAAGATTGATGTTAATTCAGCCTTTAAGGTCATCTATAAAAACGGTCAAAGGCGTTTACTCAAATACGCTGACGCTATAGCTGTTCATAAACTCAAGCCCCCCCCCCTCCTGTGTATTCAAAAACAGTTTATTATTAGAGAAACAAATGCAAGGCATGCTTGGAGAATTTATGCTGTATAAATGGTAATGTAGATGACACTCTCATTATTGGTAATAATAGTAAATCTATTGAAAACTTCATTACTCTATCTAATTATATTCATCCAAATATTCAAGTGACTTCCGAATTAGAATCAGATAACAAACTCGGTTTCCTGGATATCACAACGATTAAGAGAGATGATGGTGCGACTCAGCGATCCATTTTTCGTAAACAGACATGGTGTGGACAATATCTTTATTTCACCAGTTTTGTTCCTATCCAGTATAAACGTCTCCTCCTAGTGAAATGTTTCTTCTCAATGGCCCGAAAAATATGCACGAGTGACACATTGGTGGATGAGCTTCGACATATACATTCAGTTTTATTAGCTAATGGTTATCCGGAGAATTTTATCACTTGTCACAGAGTAAAGAAAGACCACATCTCGAAAAGACAGCTTCTGTACCAGAGAAAGCTATCTGTCTTTATTAACCTACCATTAATCAAAGGTGACCAGATTATGCAGCTCAGAGACAGCTAGCTCAAAGACTTCGATCAGCTGTCAAACGCACATTCTACGCCGCCACATCTCTTTCCCTCACAGGCCGAACATTTTCGATCCCTGTATCCACCTACGATTAAAGGACGAAATTCTGTCGACTCTACTTCAAACTGTATCTACAAGTTCACCTGCAGCTTCGGTGACTCAGACCATTTAGGTAGAACCAACAGAATGTTCCAATGTCGTCGTCGTCGTCGTCGAAAAGAACATGTTCCAAAATGGCTACTAAATCATATCGAAAATCCCAACGCCATTAATCTGAATAGAAATCCAGGATCACCAACCATTGCAAAACACTTATTAATGTCAGGTCACAAAAT